AGACCAAGAATGACAAGTTGAACCTGAGCAATACCAAGGCTTGAGTAGTTCACATAACTCAATGACACGAGGGTCTCGTCGAAAATATTTTCCACATGTCACCTAAGTTTAGTTGTGAGCACAACAATAGATTTCTATCAAGGGACCATTCTCATTAGAAATTGGATAAAGACCTGTACATGCAGATATAATTCCAACAAAAGAGAATTAACAACTCCACGAAAAGACACATTTTACGGGGAAAGTTAGGTCCAATATTTCACAAATTAAGAAATAGAAAAAAATAAAAAATAAATCACCACTGTACATTTCATAACACAAGTCTTTCTTCTGAGTAATGTTAATTTGATGAGATATGATACACTGCTCGAATGTGAGGATAATTATTAACAGCTACGAATAGTTTGGCACGTACATATATTTGTGTAAGGATTGTTTTATTGTATGGAACTTTCGAGTTACAATATGTTCAAGTGCAAGAAGAGAGAAACGGGCGCATGATGAGACAAACTTTACGTAATGAAGTTCGATGTATGGAAGAAAGTTGTCTTCCTCGAGGCAATTTGTTAGCAGCTTCATATGTACATGTCAGTGTAACCTTCTTCTCCAATATACTAACCATCACGGATTGAGTTTCTCCTGAAATATGAGAACAGATAATAATCTTTGTGAAAAGGCAGAAACCTTAGTCGTGCAACGGTCTCCACTTCACGTCCGATGAGTATGTTTTGCTTGTTTATTTTTCATAATTTTTATGTTTTAAGAATGTGTTCGGAACACTATCATACTCTATTTTCTGTTTTTCATGGGACAAATTATTTATATCGAGAATAGTTTTATTTTGCCCAGTTTTTGAAAAGGTTACACCAAACTAAGGTACCAAAATGTATGGAATTAGAACAAACAAAATCTCTAATATGTTAAGTCATAAACTACAAGAGACTCTAAATATTTTCATAAGGGACAATCGAATGTTTTGGTCTCTTTGACCTAAGGTCCTAAACTACCAGAACCACTTCTGGAGTACCTAACCTACCTATTAACAATGGTAGTTGGGTTTCTTGGAAAAAATAAACCAGCCCTAAAATTCTCAAATTTGTTAGTAACATTGGACTTCATAATTCTGAACAAGACATTGACAAATTTTAGGAGGAATTTACAATACTACAAGATGAAAACGTAGTTGGTTGGTTTGGTACATTGAACTTTACGAAATTGAAAAGAGCAATTAACTACGTTTCATTACATATCTCTCTTCTTTAATCTTGTTTAATGTAACATTCATTTTCTCTATCACCTGTCCAAATCCTATCGACCACCACGAGACTAGTTTTGCTCTTATGATTAGGAATACTCAACGTCCCATGCCTCCTCGGGTCGAGCTACTACAGCCCAATAGATTTTCTAGAAAAATAAAGGAAGCCCGTGTAAGTGCTACTCCGAGTCCACACTTCTGCAACTTTAATCCCAATTCCAAAAAAATAATGCAAAAAGTTTAGCTAAAGTGCTTTCCAGACCCCTAAAAATTATTTCAAAAAGGAATGAGGAATCCAATGGGTTTTAATGTCTTTAATCCACTAAATACCCAGAATTTCAAGATTGTCAGCTAATACAATATAGCATTCTCTATCTCAGCGTCCACTCTGTGGACCACTCCACCCCACTCCACACGGAAGCCCAGAATGTCAAATTCACCACCTTCACTGGTGGGATAGAATGGGTGACGAAGGCATCTCCTATTACCACAAAATCAAATTGGAGTAGAAATAGAATTCAAGTCTAGGATAAGAAGCTTACCATTCATTTTAGACATGATCTCAGCCACTCTCTGTTGACACCCGGAGCATCGAAAATCTGCTAAGAACACAATTTCCTGTACCTGTTTAAGAACCAGCATCTATGAGCATAATCTTACATTGTAGTACTGTACAAGACTAGAAAGTACAGAACCCGTAAAAGATGTATAATTTGCCTTACTAAACAAGCCAAGAAAGTAATATTCTGCTAGAAGAGAAAAAGTAAACTCACAAGAGGTATTGCTAAGGATTCAATGGCAGCAAGGGTAGTTGGAGGAAGAGGGCTACTCTTCAACTCTTTTTCTCCAGTCGAACCGAGCTCGTTTTGGTTCCATCTCACCACAGACATGCTTCTAGCCTATGAGTATTTTCTCAGAATTTGGGAAAGACGATAAAGAAAGCTATGGCTAAAAGCTCATTTCCATGGGCGATATAGTCGATGCCATTATGACATCTTCTCTCAGATATGCGCTTCCTATGTTGGAGAAATTAGGGATTTTAGAGACTCATGGCATTGTTGAAACAAAGGCTTTGATGTAGTGGAAAAGGTCTGAGTTGACAAAGATGTTTTGCTTCCAACAAGCAGCCCCCACAGTGCATTCAACTTTTCATATTGAATTATTGTACTTGGGTTGCTTCAGGGATTGAATCCCTTAATTTCTTAAATTAGTTACAATTTTCTCATCGAGTCAAATTAAGTTTAGCTAACACAATGAAGTCTTTTTTTTATTTC